TTAGGTGATACGACAAAACTAACAGGACTTAAGAAACAAAGAACTCCCACTCATCTGGTTGAACCACTACTAAATATCCCCATGCTGCTGATCACATGTACGGTGTACAACATGTGTACACCAATACATGTTATAGACTGTGATAGACAATTTGCTCCAGGAAAGTTAGAATGAACTTGTGACTTTAAATGAGCATCATTATTCCACAATACTGTGAAATTCGGGAGATTATGTAATCATTTAATCACAATCAAAAAAAAAAAGAACCTGGGAAAGGTAGGGAGGGAAAGGATGGTAGGGGAAAACAATGGAGGGGGTAACAATGCTCAATAGGAAGTGTACTCATTACCTTACTCATGTAACTGTAACCCTCTGTATAGTATCTTGACAATAAAAAAAAAAAGGCCCTTGTTTCCATATCTTTGGAGTTCATTCCAGCATGTATATTATTTTATATACATATGAAGAGTCATTTGGGTATTGTACCTTTGTGATTCTCTCTTAAGACTTTAGATCTATTGTCTGCATATCAGAGAGAACATGTGCCATTCATCTCTCTAATCTTTGCTTACCTCATTTTTTTTGTGTGTGTGTGTGGTTTTTTTTGGTCCTGTCGTGGGCTTGAACTCTGGGCCTGGGTGCTGTCCCTCAGTTCTTCAGCTCAAGGCTAGCGCTCTACCACTTGAGCCACAGCGCCACTTCCGGCTTTTTTTCTTTTTGCTTATGTGGTGCTGAGGAATTGAACCTAGGGCCTCAGGCATGCAAGGCAAGCGCTCTACCACTGAGCTACCTTCCCAGCCCCTTACCTCATTGGTTCTAGTTCCATCTATTTCCCTGCAAATGACATTATTTTGCTCTTTCTAATGGCTTGTAAAATTACATTGTATATACATTCCACATTTTTTGGATCTACTCATCTATTGTAGTGTTCTGGGTTGTTTCCAGATTTTGGCTATGGTGAATAGTGCAGCAATGAACATGGATGAGCAGATGCCCTTATCATATCTTGGTTCATGCTGATCAGGGTAGATATCTAGGAGTAGTATGGGTGGGTTTTAGGGAAGGGGAAGGTCTGTGTTTAAGTGTGTGTGTGTGTGTGTGTGTGTGTTGTGGGACTTGAACTAAGGGCCAGAAGGTCTGTGTTTAAGTGTGTGTGTGTGTGTGTGTGTGTGTGTGTGTGTGTGTGTGTGTGTGTGTGTGTGTGTTGTGGGACTTGAACTAAGGGCCAGAGTGCTGTCTCTGAGTGCTCAAGGCTAGCACTGAACCACAGCGACACTTCTGGCTTTTGAGTGGTTAATTGGAGATAAGAGTCTCATGGGGACTTTTCTGCCCAGGCTGACTTCAAACTGTGATCCTCAGATCCCTGTATCTAGGATTATAGGTGTGAGCCATCAACACCAGGCTTTGTGAATACATTTTATGTCATTTTCTTGCCTTATTGTTCTGACTAAGAATTGCAGAACTATATTGAAGAGGAGTGAGTGAACATCCTTACCTTGTTCCTGATTTTAGAGGAAATGGTTTTAGTTTTTTAAGTAATGTTCCTTCTATTCCTAATTTCTCCAGAGCTTTTAACATGAATGGATGTTGTGTTTTGTCAAAGGCTTTTTCTGCATCTATTGGGATGATCATGTGGTTCTTGTCCTTGGCTCTATTAATGTGGTGAATTATATTTATTGATTTGCATATGTTAAACCAGCCTTACATCTGTGGGATGAAGCCTACTTAGTCATAATGTATTATTTTTGTTTGTTTCTGGATTCTGTTGCCTAATACTTTATTGAAGAGCTTTTCATCTGTGTTCATTAGAGAAATTGGTCTGTAGTTCTCTTTTTTTGTTGGATCCTTACCAGGTTTTGACATGAGTGTGATATTGGTTTCATAGAATGAATTTGGAATTGCTCCTTCTGTTTCTGTTTCACAGACAAGCTTGAGGAGTATTGCTATTAGTTCATTTTTAAAAGTCTTACAGAATTCAATTGTATAAATTATGTCTTATAGTAACTTTTTAAGTTGATGTTTATCCTATATGCTGTATATGGACATTGTAAGTTAAAGTAGACTATACTCAAATTTGTGTTTTCCAAACTTTCTGTTTCATTTGGATATACTCTTTAAATTGCTCCCTAGAGTAAATTTTAAACTCTCTGTAAAAAATTTTTCAAAAGTCTAGGATGTATAAAATCAAACATTTGAAAATTATTAAATGGCATGTATATGATTTACTATGGTTGATAAGTGATAATCAGTATGTTTCAGTTGCTAACTCATGTGTTTGTCTCTGAGAATAAGTATTTGTTTTTTACAGGTAAAGTTCTTGTTCATGGAAATGCAGGGATCTCCAGAAGGTAAGAAGTTAAAGATGGTATTTGTTTCCTTCAAATTAATGAGTGCATTTTCTAAATTTTTTGTCTTGTCTTCAGTGCTGCCTTTGTTATTGCATACATTATGGAAACATTTGGAATGAAGTACAGGTAAGAAAGTACACTCAAACCTAACCACAGTTTAGATTGCCATGCAAACCTTACAGAAATGGGAGTTAATATTCCTTGTTACTTTATATAGACATACTTCATTAGATAAGTCCTTACATCCCATGGTTAATCTCTTAACCTAATTTATCTTCCTATTGTAGATTTTTTTTTTAGGCTAATTTATTTTGTGCTTTCTTAAACTAGTGTTAAGTGTTGGTATTTTAAGAAGCCAAGGTAGTGTATAGGTGAAATAACCCATAGAAAATTACTTATTTGTTACTAGGGAACTGGTTAGTCTCAGTTTTAAAATTCTTGGACATAAATAATGTTAACTTTGTTTTAAGTCTCATTTTATCAAGTCTTTAACTCCCATTTCCTGAATGAGAAGCAGGAAATGGTTTTCTCTCTGCCCTTACCTTGCTCTTGAGCCATCTAGCTTGAGCATGCTGTTTTTTTTTAACAGTGTACTGTCTATACCTCTCTATGGAATGCCTTGCTTTGCCACTTTAAAAATAAAAATAGGGCTGGGAAGGTGGCTCAGTGGTAGAGCGCTTGCCTTGCATGCATGAGGCCCTGGGTTCGATTCCTCAGCACCACATAAGCAAAAAGAAAAAAGCCGGAAGTGGCGCTGTGGCTCAAGTAGTAGAGCACTAGCCTTGAGCTGAAGAGCTGAGGTACAGTGCCCAGGCCCAGAGTTCAGGCCCCACGACCAGACCCCAAAAAAAATAAAGAAAAATAAATAAATAAAAGTCTAATATATGCTGAATATGGTAGTAGTACATATCTTTAATCCCAGCACTCCGGAGGCTGAGGATTTTTTAGTTTTAAGGAATCCTGTCATCTAACAAATAGAAAAGTTGACTTTTTTCTTTTTTCTTTTTTTGGTCGGTCATGGGGCTTGAACTCTGGGCTTGGGCACTGTCCCTGCACTCTTCAGCTCAAGGCAAGCGCTCTACTGCTTGAGCCACTTCTAAAAGTTGACTTTAAAATATCAATTAAAGGAATTAATTAAATATGTTTTAATTAAAGAGATTTTATATGCACAGAAGTATTTTGCAATATATATACTGATAAATTCCATATATGTGTATATGTACAAGTTGCATATACATATGTACACACATATACGTATATTCATATATGTGTGTACATGCAAATTTTACATGTATATTTTTCTAACATTCTCTATTAAGAATCTTGTCAGTGATACTAATAGTGAAAGTAACCTTTGATTCTCTTGTGCTGGGTACTCTTTCTCTAACTAAATGGTAGTACTTTGGGCATGTACTGTATGATGGTATGCTATATGCACAAAGTGATTTTACATTCATTATCTTCCATCTTCACTGTAGTTCTCCAAAATAAGAGAAAAAAAATAAAGTTTAGAGAAATTGGCCAAATTCCCTTTGTACACACAGTTGGGATTACAACATGCAGAGTGATTACAATATTTATTTATTTATTTATTTTGGGTCCGGTGGTGGGACCTGAACTCTGGGCCTGGGCACTGTCCCTCAGCTCTTCAGCTCAAGGCTAGCACTCTACCACTTGAGCCACAGTGCCACTTCCGGCTTTTTTCTTATGTGGTGCTGAGGAATCGAACCCAGGGCCTCGAGCATGCAAGGCAAGTGCTCTACCACTGAGCCACCTTCCCAGCCCCAGGGATTACAATATTTAATCTGTCCCTTTATGTAGGTTTAAACTCAATGATTGTTTACCTACTTTAGGATAAATTTTTAGGTAACTTCCTACTTTAAATAAATTCTGGAAAACTTTTTGAAATTGAAATCTTTTGAAATAATTTGTAATAAGAATTTCATACTTTTTTTTCCAGAGATGCTTTTGCTTATGTCCAAGAAAGAAGATTTTGTATTAATCCTAATGCTGGATTTGTCCATCAACTTCAGGTAATTTAACTTTTTTTCCATTTTCTCTTTAAGGCAATCAAAATTGTAAGATAGTCCAGGCACAGGTGGCTTATGCCTGTAATCCTGCCTACTCAGGAGGCTGAGGTCTGAGGATCAAGGTTGAAAGCTATTCCAGGCAGGAAAGTCCATCAGACTTATCTGCAATTAACTACCAGAAAACCGGAAGTGGCTCTGTGGCTCAAAGTGGTAGATTGCTGGCCTTGAGAAAAAGAGCTCAGAGACAGTGCACAAGCCTTGAGTTCAAGCCCACGGCAGGCAAAAAAAAAAGTAAGATAGTTAAAATCTTTTGTCCACATAGCTTAGTATATAATTTACTCTGTAAGAACTTAATGTTTAAAAATATTAATTTGATGATTTAAGCTTATATCTCTTTAATATATTTTTTAAGTTGCTGTTACCAAGAAAAGGGAGTAGTGAAGTACAACCTTCTTAACTAATTTTGTTTTAGATGCATTTCCAAACATGTTCTATGCTTGAGTTTTGCTATTTTGGCCAGTTTTAACATCATTTCTTTAACAGTATATTTATCCCATTGATAATTATTTCTTATTTATTTGCATCCTTTTTAAAAATCCTCAATATAGAGTAGAGGTTTTTTTCTTCTTCTTGTATACTTATTTTTTACAGTGTGGGAGCTGAATCCAAAGCCTCACATATGACAGACAGGCATTGTTGCATTGAGCTACATCCCAGCTAGATGTAGCTTTAAGTAGTATTAGCCCATGGAAAATTATTTTATATTACCTCCTATATTTCTCATAATTGTGTTTCTACATTTTTATATTTAGATGTCAGTTAAAATATTTGCATTTTAGTCTAATTTATATTCTCTAGTTGCTCATTCTTAATTCTCATTCAGCTCCCTAAAGTTGGTTCTCGATCCCTACTTAAAAGAATTTCTGTACAGGCTGGGCGCTGGTGGCTCACGCCTGTAATCCGAGCTACTCAGGAGGCTGAGATCTGAGGATCGGGGTTCAAAGCCAGCCTGGGCAGGAAAGTCCGTGAGACTCTTATCTCCAATAAACCACTAGAAAACTGAAAGTGGTGCTGTGGCTCTAGTGGAAGAGCACTCTCCTTCAGCTGAAGAACGCAGAGACAGCGCCCAAACCCAGAGTTCAAGCCCAGGACTGACAAAAAAAAAAAAGAATTTCTGTACATTATATCGTTTACAAATCCATGCATATATTTTTCTATTGCCCCTTTATTTGAAGGACAGTTGGCTAGATAAAAGCTTTCAGTATTTTCTCCTTTGTAGCTTTGCATGTCTACCTGATACATTCTATAGAATGCTGTTCCAGAGAACTCTGATGGCAGACTAATTTATAAATTTTTCCTCCATAAAAAACTTGATTAGTCAGGCATTGGTGACTCATGCCTGTAATCCTGGCTACTCAGGAGGCTGAGGTCTGAGGATTGTAGTTCAAAGCCAGCCTGGGCAGGAAACTCCATGAGACTCTTATCTCTAATAAACCACTCAGAAAACTGGAAGTAGAGCTGTGGCTCTAGTGGTAGAGAGCTCGCCTTGAGCTGAAGAGCTGAGGGATAGCGCCCAGGTCCAGAATTCAAGCCCCAGGACCGACAGAAAAAAAGAAAGAAAAAACTTGATTATTACAGGGAGAGTGATGTTTAGATGTATATCAAGATATCTTAGGAATGTAGGTCAGTGATAGAGTATTTGCTTATCAAGGGCATAGGTTCAAATCCCCCACACTGTCAAAAAATATATTGATGATTACTCAGAAGTTGTTTTTGCTGTGGTAGTGGTTTTGAATCTTCGTATGACTTGTTCCTTGCAGATTGTAGGCTTTCCTTATTTCAGAGAAAGTTTCTTCTATTATGTATTTGGATTTTTATTTTTATTTTTGGTTTTTGCATTGTACTTCACTTGATCTTTCTCCTCAGGCCTGTAATTTTTTTTTCTTTTTCATATATCTGATTTTCTCTTTATTCTCAACTTGGTTCTTTTCATTTTTTATGCTCAAATTTTCTGTCTTCTATATCCCATGCTGTGTTTACTTACTTGTTTCTTGAGATGAGAACTTGATGTGTTGCACAGGGTGTTAGGTTTTTAAAAAGAGGTAGCCGAGTAAGAACCTGCACGTGGTATTCAGGTAAGGGGCAGGTTTATTCAGTAGACCTGCTGGGACCAGGCAAGGTTGGCACTCCACGTGGCCGGGAAAGGCCTGGGAATGAGAGAGAGCTGGGAAGAGAGGAGAGAGAGAGAGGAAAGAGCTAGAAAAGAGCAGAGAGAGAGGTAAGAACAGCAAGAGAAAGTCTGGGAATGACAGAGAGCTGGGAAAGAGAGGAAAGAGCTAGAAAAGAGCAGAGAGGTAAGAACAGCAAGAGAAAGTCTGGGAATGACAGAGAGCTGGGAAAGAGAGGAAAGAGCTAGAAAAGAGCAGAGAGAGCAGAGAGGAACAGAGAGAGCAAGTCTGGGCCTGGGCTAGGCCTTATCTAGGGTATGGGCGGAGAAAGGTGTGGCCACATCAAATTCAGATGTGACCTCAGCGGATGCAGATGTGACCTCTTCCAGGTGTCCCACTTGCCTAGGTAATGTAGGTACTGGGTGGAGACTTTGCTGCGAGGAGGGTGGAGTCTGCTAGCCATCCAGGAGCTGACCTAACACAGGGTGCCCTCCAACTCCCTGACTCAGTCTGCTTCTTTCTCCCAAGTAGCTAGAACTGCAGGCATGCCCTACTCCCTATATTTGAAATACTAACTTGGGACCATTCTAAATACAGGTACAGAATGAAACGGACAAAAGTCCCTGACCTCTTGGTGTTAAATACTGACAAACAAAAAAATATTAAGTAATATGTTCAAGAAAGAAAGGAGGATGGGACAAGAAGTTTTTATTTCTTTGGTTGTGAGGCTTGAATTCAGGGTCTAGGTGCTGTCCTTGAGCTCTTTTACTCAAGGCTAGTGCTCTACCACTTTGAATCACAGTGCCACTTCTGGTTTTCTGGTGGTTAATTGGAGATAAGTGTCTCATAGACTTTGCTGCCTGGGTTGGCTTTGAACCGCAATCCTCAGATCTCAGCCTCTTTTGAATAGCTAGAATTATAGGCGTAAGCAACTGGCACCTGGCAAGAATTATTTTTTTTATTGTGAATATACTGTACAAAGGGGTTACAATTACATGGGCAAGATAGTGAGTACATTTCTTATCAAGCATTGTAGCCTCTGCTTCCCCTTCCCATCTCATCCTACCCCACCCAGCCCTCCTCCCCTCCCCCACAAAGTTGTAAAGTTCGTTTTTGACATAATGACTTGTACATCTCATTTTTGCAATGGGTCCACCTGTATCCCTATTTAAACGATTTGTTTTTTCCCTTCCCCTCCACAAATTTTACCAACATCAAATACAATGAAAGCAGGGGTTATACCGTGAGGGAGGGACATACAAAGCAAGAACTATTATTATTTTTTAAGTGTACTAGAGGGGCTTGAACTTAGATTCTCACACTTGCTTAGCTTGGTTACCCTTAATCATGGCTAGTGCTATACTGCTTGAGCTACATCTCCAGCCTAGCTTTTTGCTGGCTAATTGGAGGAGTGTCACACTTTTCTGCTGGGGCTGACATCAAACTGATCCTCTAGAGATCTTAGCTTTCTCAGTATCTCCTATTATAAATGTGAGCCACTGGTACTCTGCAAGAATTAAAAATTTTAAAGGGTAATAAGTAAAGCCTTACTGAGAAAGTGGTATCTAAACAAAGAAAAAATCATGTACAGATTGAGCAAGAAGGTTTCTAGATGAAGGTCATACCTGGTGGCAGTATTTAGCCACCTGGTGTGAGTGAGGGCTTTCAGTTCATATCTCCAATTCACTGGGAGAAAAAGGGGGTAGTGATTTCTGTGTGATTTCTTGACAAAATTCTTAGGTAAATAGGGAGGATAAGCATAATTGCAGACTGTTCAAGGAAAAATGGGGAAAAGAATCTTAACCACATACACTTTGTTTGCCTTCAAGGAGAAAACATAAAAGAGTGACTGGTGAGTTAGGGTTTTGATTTCTAAGATAGGAGAAACTATTAACATCTGTATGCTGATTGGGATAATCCAGGGCAAAGGGAAAAATAAATATTTTGCTAGAATTGTTGGGTATGGTCTTTTTTTTGTTTTCCATTTCATTGTTGGGCTCAAACATCTGTTGTCATATCTCTTCCTAGGAGTCCTTGTATCTCTTTTTGAACGCATTTTTAGAAATGCCACTTTCCAAAGTCAACTTGGGCTGTCACAGGAAAATAAGACAGGTTTTATCTCATAGTATCTGAGGCCAAGAAATCCAAAATCAAATGTGCTGGTTAAAATTGCTCATATAATTCTCATGTATAACCAAATGTAGGAATTAATAAGTTAGCTTTTACTCTTTTTTTTTTTTTTGCCAGTCTTGGCTACCACTCTACCACTTGAACCACAGTGCCACTCTCACTTTTTCATGTGGTACTGAACCGAACCTAGAGCTTCATGCATGCAAGGCAAGCACTGTACCACTAAGCCACCTTCCAAACCATAGCCTTTAATTTTAACTGACCAAGATCAGGTAATTGTTAACAATTAACTTCTCTGCTTAAAATAGCTGTGGAAGCAAGCATCTTCTGTGTAGAGGTGAGTATGGAGACAGTGCCTCATTATGTATTCCAAGCTGTCCTAGGACACACAATTCCAGCCTCTCAAGCACCTGAGTATTGAGATTACAGATGATACCACAATGCCAGACCAAAATTACTATGAAATATAGTACACATATAGGAAATGAATAAAATACAAATAAGCACTTGTAGCCATTTCTAAGTCAAGAAATTATTCACCTGTACTTCAGAAGCCTCTTAATGGCCTTTCCATGTACAACTCCCTTTTTCCCTTTAAAGATATCTACTATCTTGACCTATTTTGTTAATCAGTTCCTTATTTTTCTCTTCCCCCTGTTCAGAAGTATTGATGTCTGCTAGGTTCCTCAAATGTCCTTGTTTTCA